TGAATTGAAAACATAAACATTAGTACCATTTGTAGGGAGTAAATAAGTCAAGTAACTTGTCAAGGTTTACAAAATGGCATGCCTTAGACTTAGTTTCACGTTATTTATTTTAAAAATAATAGAAGCTTGCTTGAGTTCATTAAAATTCTATTTAGAAATCAAGTAACAGGCCTTTAATAAAAGGTAATAGTCTCTATGCCTCTAGACTTGACGTTATATTTTAATAAAAAAAATTATATATTTTTTAATCTTTCTAGCTTTCATCCTATGAATTTGGTTATTAATTTGGATTTAAAGAAATAAGACAATGTTATATTAGTGACCTATGATCATAATCAATTTCTTACTCTCTTTTTTCTTTCTGTCTAATACTTTATGTGGCTACATTATTATATATGTATAAGAAATTTTGTGGTTATAATATTTTCCTTAAATTTTTTTTTTTTTTGAAATTTAATTAAGTTTTCTATATCCTTACCATTATTTTATTTTTGATTTCCAGCAATGTAATTAAATTGACAATATTTGAGGTTGTGGATCCATCAAATTAAACATACAAAAGTAATAAAGTAATCGTAACTTATAATTTATATAGTGCAATATGTTATTTTTGAAGGTTTGATAGGCTTAAGAGGCCAACTTGTATTTTTTTTAAACAACTCATATCAAGTTAATAAATCAAGTCAGGTTTAAAATATTTTACATAGATCTAACTTATTTAAATTAAAGCTCGGCTTGGTCATTTACACCCCTACTTTCGGTGTACCCAATTATATTTTTATAAAAGCTCTTGTCATAAAAATAACTTTTTTTATAATGAATAAAAAAATTAAAAATCCCACGAGTAGTTTTTTTTTTAATATATAGGTCAGCTTTTTCGAAATTCTGATATTTATTTTACATCCTTATTCTAAATTTGTATTTGCAAATTTTATTCGCTACCTTAATGTCAAATAATTTAATTTTCTTCTTCCCTCTAAAACGCTGAAAACGTCATCAAGAGAGTGTTCGTCCTAGGGGGAGATTTTGTATGTTAAGTTGTTGTTGATTCATTTCTTGTATGTATTTTAGGTTATACTTTATATTAAACATATAAACTACGAGTGGAGGGTTTAAAAATTCATATGTGCCAAAAAATATGCTTCTCCACTATCTATGTCCTTTTGTTATCTTGATTCTTTCCAAGTTATGGTGATTAATAATGAAAAATAAAATAAAATTATATTCTTGAATAGAGCTACAGAAAGAAAAAGATAATAAAAAAAGGATGCATGTTTAAGCATTGTTAATTGCTGCAAGGCTACACTGCATTTTGTACTGAAGCCAGAGAAGTATTATTAGCACAAGAGTGTTGTTATAGGTGAGGATGAGAGAGTTGTGGGGGAAAATGATAAGTGTAATATAATGTAAAGATAGAAAGAACAGGTAACTGCGTGTTTGGTAGAAGAGAATTTTTTTTTATTTGGAAATCATAATTTTCAAGAATATAATGGGAAGATGAGTTTTCTGGAAATGTTAACAAAAAGTTATTTGATAGACTAAAATATTCCAGAAAATACTGGATTAATTTTCTTAATTTTATGTTTAGTTATATTAAATTTTTCTTTGCCATAGAAATCATAAAATACCATCCCTGGATAATATTTCTAAATGATATTTTCAAAAAAATTTACATACAAAATAAAATCCCAGAAAAATTAAATTCCTAAAAAAAATTTAATTTTTAAAAAAAATACCTTGTAACAAACGGCAAGTAGAAAACATTGGCAAGTAGAAAAGGTAGAACCATGTGAGTTAATGTGATTTGATGCATCCATAGAAAATTACTCTCCTACAATAAGAGTAGTTTTTCCTTTTAATTAATATAGCTCTCTGTAAGTTGGTTCGGTATCCAACCAACACACCGTCACAATAAGATCAACATCTTTACTACACTAGCATGAAATGGGGTGCATTTCATGATAGAGTTATATTTTAGTTTTTGATTGGTGATGTCTCGTTACCTTTCGCCACTGGTCAATTAAATATATAGGTTAAGTTCTCAAAACATTCATCTTTTATTTATGTACTACATTCTCATCCACATATTTAAGTTGTTGTGTGCACCATCATTTTCCACGATCAACCCACCACAAGCAACCACAATCAACAAACTACACTCATGACGAAGGCTGAACAAATCTAAATCTAAATATATACGGACAAAGTTATATTTATAAATTACATTATCTCTTACTGTAAGATATTTTTGAGTGAAATCTTACCGGTAAGATATAATATAATTTGTAAGTTTGTAAGAAAAAAATTTGTTAATATAACCCTTCTCACATAAATATATAGATATATAATGTATGGGTAAGATTATTTTATTTTATTATAAAAAATCTTACATTCATTTTAAGCCACTAATCCACTTATATGGTGATGTTTGGATGAGCTTTTTCCAAGTCAAAAACTGCAACTTTTTTTTTTTTTTTTTAAAAGGGCTTATGAAATTTTTGTAGTGTTTAGATAATGACTTTCAAAAAAAATAAAAGTTAATGAAAAAGTCAAAATTTAATTTTTTTAAAAGCTACAATTTTTAACTTTTAGAAAAAGGAGAAGCTAGAAGTAATCGAACCGTTTCTGGATGCATTCTACCCCTCATTTCGTTGGACATCTTTCATTGTTTCTCCTTTTCCATCATAACACCAGTTACTGTAACCTATGTTGTAGCGACACCGACACAGGACATGACACGACATGACACGCCGACACGTTAATTCTAAAAAATATCATATTTCGACACATTATGACACGTTTTGATATTAAATAATATTTTTAATATATACCATATAATTTATATTTAATACATATAACAGTCCATAATAAATCATATAACCAATCAAATATTCAAATTTCATAACATAAATATAAAGCAAAAGTATTTTTTCATACCTTGTTAGTTTTTTATATCAAATGTCATAATAGAAAAAAATTGACTTATAAATTGTTTTTTTCATTTTTAGTTAATAAAATAAAATTTAGACCTACAAAAAAATGTGTCAGAGCATTGATCGCACGTCGAAAAAAGCTGATCGCGTGTAAGAAACACGTGTTGAAGTGTGTCGGTGTCCCACACACAATTTTTTTTAAAAACATGTGTGGGTACTTTCTAGACTGCAACTGAGGATGATATGCCCAATTTATCCGATTCAGCTCTTATTAGCTCACTCGTCTCAAATTCCTAATAATCCAATTCTGGATTCTCATGAATCTTCCTCTGACCTCCACCATCCATTTGAAAACCCGAGGCTCCTTCGCTAAATCTAGAAACTTGGAGGTGTGGATTTCCAAATGTTCATCTGAGCTCAAGTAGGAATTTGAGAAGAAGAGTGTTGCAACAAAGGAATGAAAAACTATGAACAAGTTGACCAATATGAAGAAACCCATTTTCTACTTTGTGTCAAAAAATTTAATATGACGTAAATGTCAAATGATCATATCCCATTATATTATGAATTTTTATTTTCTTATGTAACAGGAGACCGCCTTTATCTTCATGCAGACACAAAGCTTTGTGGGTCTCTTTTAAAGAAAAAGAAAAAGAAACAAAGTTTCTATTTCCGATGTTGTTGTAGGAGAAAGTTTTGCTTTTGTGTTACATAAGACAATAATAAACGATTAGATAAATATTTCTATAATGAATTCAGATAAGTTATTTCTATCACTCCCAAAACATCATCGTTTTACAGTTGAAAAATTAAAAAATTATAATATAAAAATTATTATAACTCTGAAATAAATTAAAAGGGGAAAAAGTATCTAATGTTACTTTAGATAACTTTATCTAATGTTCATCAAAACGACGTCTTTTTGGGGTTAAAAAATTAAAAAATTAGAATGATAAAGACTATTATAACCCTGAAATAAATTAAAATTACAAAAACACCATAATTTCCGTCCCAAAACGACGTCGTTTCGGTGAACATTAGATAAAGTTATCTAAAGTAACTTTAGAAAACACAAACCCAAATTAAAATTATAAAAATACCTTAAATTTTGCCTTAAAATGACATCATTTTAGACTCAATCATTGTTGTTAAAAACTAGTCTAAAAACGTAGAAAAGCAGTGTAAAAATGTGTTAGAACGCAAGTAAAAATGGTCCTTAGTAAAAACGGATAAAAACACGCATAGAAATGTAAAAGTGGTAGAAACAGAAGTTTTTACGTTTTTTATTGTTTTTATTTAAACTCATTTAAAAAAAAACCTATTTTCCATTTTTTTTCAATTCAATTTTCTTTTTTTCTTGAACTTATGTCTTATATAGTTACATGACTTATATCTTTTAAATATAAAGTTATTTATTAAATTTTAAGTAGTGACTTTTTTGATTTTTTTAATATATATATATATATATATATATATATATATATATATATATATATATATGAGGTAAGATCCTTTGACACCAGTGTCCAATTTAAAATTTGACACCTCATCTGATTAGATCAAAAAAGATTAACGACTATGATTTGTAAGCATATGACACAATTGATCTTTTTTTATCTAACGGCTATCAGATGAGGTGTCAAAATTTAAATTTGACACTGATATCAAAGAATCTTATCTATATATATAATTTTATATCATGACTTTGAGTAATAAAAGTTTTACGTTTATGTCATTTTTACTATTTATGTTTTTATTATCTTTTTCATTTCTATATATAGAAACTCAATTTTAACAACAACAAACTCAATCCATATAAGTTATCTCGATGCGATGGAAAAAAACCAACCCATAAACGATCTTTAAAATGAACTAGGTAAACTACCGACCAAACAACGCCAACCTGGATAAATATGTACTTCACTGTATCTCTCTCAATCCACGTCATCCATTGGTCTTTCTCCGCTCCTTATATCACAGGTGGTCACGGTATCACCTTCCGGCGTCACCAATATATATATCACTCCATAGAACACCGAACTTTATCGTTTTTCTTCTTTCTCTCTCACTCTCTAAAAAAAACAACCTTCGAGATTTTCTTTCTCTAAAACAAGGTACAACCATGGGATTCCCGGTAGGGTACCCGGAGGTTTTGGTCCCAAACCTGTTCCTCCACTTTCTAACCCTTCTCGGCTCTCTCCGTTCCCTTGTTTTCTCCCTCCTCCACCTCCTCCGCCTCTCCGATTTCCTCGACGCCTACGACGCAGCCGTCTCCTCGCCGGAGTCTCGGCCGGTCAGGCCCCAGGGCCCGACCCTGTCGGCGCTCCTGATCAGGGAATTCCTCCCGGTCGTCAGTTTCCTCGACCTCGCCGGAAAATCGCCGGCGGTGGTGGCGGAGAATGGCGGCTGCTGCGCAGTGTGCCTGAGCGAGTTTTCCGGGGAGGAAGAAATCAGGTGCATGGCGAACTGTAAGCACATTTTCCACCGGGTGTGTGTGGACCGTTGGATTGATCACGATCAGAAGACGTGTCCTCTTTGTAGGACCCACTTCGTACCTCATCATAAGATGGCGTCCTATTATCAACGGCTATGGACTGCATCTGGTGTTTCTGAGTTTAATCAAGATGACTTCACTGTATCCCCCTGAGTTTTTATTTTTATTTTTTATTTTATTTTATTTTTACTTACGACGATTTCCTTATTTATAACGAGAGAGAAGGGTTATAATTATATTTTTTTTTGTCTCTTATACCCCTTATACTAATTGTCAGAGGTTATAAGATAAAAGAGATTATAATATAATCTCTCTCGGGTGAATTTATGCCATCATAATCTTCTTCCCAATCTCTCTTTTCATATAATATCACAAATTGAGACTGAACAATTTAAATTATATATTTTAGATAGGTTTTGCTGAATGTTTAATATTTGCCAAATTATGTGAGAAGGGGAATATTATGTAATTGTATTAATGTAATTTATATGTACAAATTTTCAAAATGGAATATTGAATGAAAGTGACCAGGAGAATAGGGATGCACGAACAAACTTTGGAAAAGAATAGAAGCTCATGAGTTTTGGTGCATGACGTGAGAGTCTTGACGGATTGGTTGTATTCTTAATAATTACACTTAATTATTGGAATGGGAAATGAATATTCTCATCTTAAGAAAATAAGAATATAGTCTTATAATAGATTGCAACTATACAAAAGCAAATTAATAATTATAATTTATAATTATTTATTGTAATATTATTATTTATTTTTGTATGGTTATAATTTTTCATAATCATCTTATGTATATTTTTTTCATCCAGATGATGATATAATACAATTAAATTAATTATTTTATTTTGAAATAGAGGATGATTGAGGAAGGGTGAGCAATTGAGCATGAGGAGAATAGATAAGCCCAAAAAGAAAGAAAGTTGATAAAATCTATCTCAATCATAAATGCATTAAAGTCGTGGGGGACAGTGCATTAAGTCCAACAATATGACCATAATAAAGAAAAATAGTTAGTATAATAATAGATACTAGAAGGTCGGTAATATGTATGCATCATCTTCAACAATGGTGACTCTTATGTACGCAATTACCTGCAGGCTTTGGCCTGTTTGGTCAACTAGACAGCTACGTTTCCACTTATTAACTCTAGATGTTATTAAAGAAAAAGGTATTAAATGATTAGTGATCGGTGCAAGATGATTTGTATACATGCATGACATGTGACACTCAAGTTAGATTTTGTGCAAGTAAATTTAAATATATAAGAGAAGATGTGTATCTTGTGTTTAGAACAATGGTATTTATAATGGGGATGACCAACTTTGGAGGATGTCCCTAATTGTTTCCAGCAAGTGGTGAGACGGCAAAGTCTTCTTACTGACAGTTTTGTAGGTGGCTTGAGATGAGTTTGCATAGGAGCAAGTAAGTATCAGCAGCTATTATTGATTGAGATATCTTCTTGAATGTGTTTTTTTCATGTTGAAGTATTCAAGTGTACCAAGACAACCCTCCTCATGCTTTCGCAGCTCAGAGATCAGTACTTCTTCAATTATGGCATAAAAGACTGGATCATGCCTCTGTTCAGCATTTGCTTTTGCTTCCTTATTTTCATTATGTTAGTAATAAAAATAAAGACAATCTTATTTGTGATGCTTGCAATAAGGCTAAACATTGTCGTAGTTTCGTTCCAATAAGCCTTTTTCGCAATTCTAGTCCGTTTGATGTTGTGCATTGTGACATTTGGGGTCATTATTTTTCGGGTGCCTATTATTTCTTGACCTTTATGGATGATTTCATTCGATCTGTTTGGGTCTACTTAACGAAAAATGCATCAAGAAACCACAATTCTTGCGACGGAATTGGTATGCTTAATTTCTTTAGTTTCCTCGATGATCCAATATGATGTATCCAGGGGTTTGTGATGATGGTTGTCACCATTGGATGTTAGGGAGAATTCTAACAAATACAGTAGAAAAGTATACATTACACGTCATGTGGGCCTATATTGTCAATAATATTAAATTATACCATTTTCATAAATAGTTTTTAGATTATATCATATTGATTTTTTTTTTAAATTGTACTATTTTGATAAATATGCACATAGGCTACTTGAATTTTTATGGGCAGAAGCTTGAGTAGGTAAGTCAGACTTTTAGCAAACTAAGCTCTTTTCAAATTTTTTAAAAGTTGATTTATTTTTGTCCTTTTCAGTGAGTTATCTATTAAGTATTCTTTGATGAAATGTTATTAAATTTGAATGGATCATCCACTCGGTCAGGGTATTAAATTAAAAGGTCATTGGTTCAACTGCATGAATTAAATATATATATAAAATAAAATAAAATAAATATAAAATTAGAAGTATTTTAGCTAATAATTAGAGTTGGATTAGTAGTACGTATTATAAGTCATAATTTACATGGTGTAGGTTCAAATCTCATTAGTGGTATTATTTAAGTATTTTGTTAAAAATTTCATGAAACCGATATTTCTAAAAAATTGGTGCCGATTTAATACCCGTTGAACTCGGTTTAGGACTAGTTCACCGGTTTCAATGGCGGACTGACAAACATTTGAGAATTTTTTTTCAAAGGAGTGAGTAATTTAGGTCAAGTAAAAAAAAAGATTTAAGAAGATTGAAAAGAAAAAAGTAAACATAGGCCTAACCATGGTAGTTAAAATCGGGATCTTACCTAAAATCTGAAGGAGGATAAAAAATTGTAGATTCATAGTAATTCGACAAGTTTCAATGAAAGGTAACTTTCTATATTTATTTTATTTGTTATTGTAACAGCTTAGTTGACTCTTGATTATTTTTTTTTATGTTAAGTTAAAGTCTTCTTTTCTTTTCTTGTTTATTTTTTTTTAATACATTTAAATTTGTCTTTAAAAAGGGCGCTGCCCCCGAACCTCCACCTTAAGTGTTCACACATAATTTTTTTTTTTTCTGAGTTCGCCACTTACCGGTTTCATATCGGATCAAATGAATAACTGATCCAATTCTTAAATACTCAGTCAGATCGGATTTTATAACATTACTATGATGTCTTTTATTTTAAAAATAATAATAATAAAGAAAAAGGAAACACGTGCTTATAATTAATTTTTCTTTTTGGTTTATGATTATATTTCGACTATTCACTTTCATTTTTAATTTCATTTTTATTAATTTTCATATATCACGAAATATATATATATATATATATATTTCTCTTACATTTTAAAATGAGTAGGGATATTTTTATTCTAGTATAAGAATAATCTGAGTCTCTATCTCTTTGTGATGTCTGTGCATGTGAAGATTGCAATTTATTAAGGATTAATAATTAATTAATATATAATTTAATAGATTATAATTGACAGATACACATAAATCAATATTTGAGATGTGAAATAAGATTTTTTGTTCTTATTCTTAGGGAGGGAGCTAAACCTTTAGCCATCACTGTTCCCCCGCACTCCGGATTAGTCTCATAGCCGGCTCAAAGAGTCAAAGCTCGTGGGGATACCGGAGGGAGCCAACTCGTCTCAAAGAGATAATTAGGGTTGAGTAACTCAAAAAAAAAAAAAAGATTTTTTGTTCTTATATTGGTTACACTTTTAAAATTATTTATCCGTTACTTCAAAGACATCCGAGCAAAATCTTTAGGGGGTGTTTGTTTCAGGTTTTTGTGAAAGTTTCCTGGGGAAGTGATGCAAGCATTCTAGTAACTCCATGTTTGGTTCACCGATTTCCATTTTTTTGCCCATCTTTCCTTGTTGTCCATCTATCTTGCATTGAGTGTGATTTGTCTGAAAATCACTGTTACAGATTGCTTCCTCGAAGGTGGTATTGTGTTTAAAAACCGGAGAAGTTGAGAAAGTGGAAAAAATGGTATATTTGATGACAGTATTGCCCCTCACACGTGAGCAAAGTACGCCCAAATTGTTACATTAGTCATTGAGCTTGCTTATGTTCTGAAACCTGAGAAGAAACCCAAAAAGTGGAGACCGAGTGAAGAAATCCAGATGCGCGTGGATGGCAGATTGGGTAATGGTAATTTATGAATGAAATTTTGAAGAAAGTTTGTGGATGTCAACTGACATGTCACCCTGTATTTGGTAGGACGTTCCATTCGCGTAGGTGGTTGAAGAAGACACCCGTGAAGTAGATCTAGCGCGTCGGAGAAGTAACTGGTTGGTATCTCCGGTTGATTTTGTGCGGTGCAGCGAACGTGGAGACATAGGGTCCTATTCTTTTGCCGACGGCTGGTCAAAATTTTCCTGCTAGTAAATATCTTAACCATGGTCCCATGCTCTCTGTTTATGTAGTCGCTCACTCTTGCTTACTATTGTTTTGAACAGTGTGTGGTTGTGATTGTGGATGTGCATGTGACTAGGAAGGGGTTAAAACTGATTAAAAATTGTGATGGTGTGTAAAATTTTCTTGATCGGTTCAACATTTTGAGGGTCCAGATGACACCAAAATGGTTAAACAAGGCATTTGTTCTATCAATAGCAGAATAGGGTGGAAAGCTGTTTGAACAAGTTAATGAAAATATCCGTTGATACTGTCATTTGTCATGAGTTATGAGTTATGAGTTATAACTATAAGCTGAAATTCGAATTAATGATTGACAAATCCATGAACATTTATGTCTTTAAATATGAAGGTAAAGTTTGGTTAAGTGTTGTTTTCTTCTGGTCACTCTTCTTTACATTTTGAAGTGGATATGAAATAGTTTGATACTTGGGTATGATATTGCCCAAAATGTATTTTATGAACGATGTTGGCTTCTCAAGGAGGAATCATATCTGATATACTTATCTGAATTGTTTGTGTTACAGAATTACACGATTCTGACTGGTATTAGCCGAAGATTTTATAATTATAAACCTCAAAAGAATCAAGCTGAAGCAATAGCCATCTTTAAAGGTAATTACTGATATCTTAACCAATATTTTTTGTCTAGTCTGTTATACTGATTGTAGGCGTCAAAGGAGACTTAGTGAAGTTATCACAGAATGCAAATAAAGAGAGCATTAACTTGTAGAGAGAGATTGCATGCGAATTCACTTACTAACCTGTCATAAATCTTATTTATTTTGACTATATTTGGTTTTATTTCAAGACCATATCAGGTCTACTACATAATATGGATCCATAATTCAAGATGCTAGAGTAGTTTTCTCGCAACCTTCAAACTTTACAAGTTCAAAAATTTGACACCTTTCCTTATTATTCTTTTACAATGAATGATACGTTTTCAAAGGGAAAAACAGCTGTCATATTATAGGAGTATTATTTTTTTTTTTATCAGTGATCTTTCGGTTTTTATATAATATTTTTTTTTTAATAAATATAAGCTATATATAAAATGTGTCTATAAGATAAGACTGCTTGAGAAAATCCAAACCTTTTTTTATAAAAGTGTGATTCATCTACCGATGAAATGAAAACCCCTTTCTTGACCCTCCTTTCAACACTGTAAATATGTTATTCCCAAAGGTACCACAGCTGGGTTTGTTGATTCCCAAACCCCTTTTTTTATAGACATTTATATGTTATTCCCAAAGGTACCACAGCTGGGTTTGTTGATTCTGCTCATAAATATTTGGTACGCAATCAATAATAGCATAACTTGGATCGTTCATAAAAGGTGGTACTTGTTATATTAGCTTGAACATGGACAAAACACTGCCTTGAATTGCGTAACCAGCTACTGACATTCATGAAGACTTAAGCAAGTGACAAAATATTTCTCTATCACATGTGTAAATTACAAAGCATCCAAGTGACTGGTATGATTTTTTTTACCTACATAACCTTAAATTGAATTCATTATGTGCCATGAGTACTGAGATGGATTATGAGCAATTTACCAATTGATGTTCTCCATTGCAAAATCCATAATATCTGGAGCTGCAGAGGTTTTCAATTTTGTATCTCAGTCAATGGTATTTATTTGGGTTTTGTATTATCTCATTACCTCAGGGTCTGGTGGAGTAACAGAACAACTGATGTGCATGCTTCCAATGTCAAGCTTGGGTGGTATTTGAGGATGCCTATTCTGCTTCCAATGCCCTCAGGCAAATGCAAGGTTTCCCCTTCTATGATAAGCCCATGGTATCATATACTCCTTTACATTCATTTCACCTTCAATTTTACTTGTCAACTCCAAACTTGTTATATACTTTGTATTTATTTATTATATTTTATTTTAAATAAGGTGTTTAGGCTTGTTTTTAATTAGGATTAACTGCTGTAATTATAATTATCTGGTTTAGTATGGTTCTGGTTTCTGAGAAGACTTCTTTTTACTATGATTTGAAAATTATACAACTAGTGCTGGAAGGCAGATACATAATGGCCAATGTCTTGTCTGTTATTCACCTTTTCCTCATGGATTATGGAGCTTCAGAGATTCTGGAAGATGTGCCTGGAAATAGTGCATATCTTACTGGGTTGAGCATCATTGGGGGAGTGACATTGTTCCCATATGCTGTTGAGGAAAATTTTTACCTGCTTTCTCTCACTCTTTTGATGATTATAGAAGCAATTTGTTCTTTAGTCTCTCACTCTTGGTGCATCATGTTTTGACTATATCTCAAGATTTTAACCCGTATTGTGTATGATTTAGGCATTTTATGACAACTTGCTTCTCTTGGAATATTCTTGTTTCATAATTTAAAACTGGTTTACCTGCATAGCATAATTTCTAATTCTAATTCTAGCAAGCTTTGAAATGTGACTACTAGGTTAGTGTGGTCTTCTCTTAACTAAACTTATATTGGCAACTTTTTTAAATGCTCAAGTAACTCTAATTGAGATAAGTAGTTCTGATTCTTTTGGGCTTTAATTTTCTATTTTTTTCATTTTTTTTTTTTTGGGTTGGTGTTTGAGGGAAAAGGATAGCAATCTACTTATTAAGAGATGGCAGAAATTTCCTTTTCATATTTTTGATCATGTTTGGTTCAGTCTATGAGTGAGTAATTGTTAAGATGCACTTCTATTAGTTCCATAACATATTTAAATTGACTGAAGGAGTATGTTGTTCTGCAGGGGGCTATTATGGGCCCATTGATAACTACAGTTATCATTGCTCTGAAGGATTTGTATGCTGAATTTGTTATCGAAGAACCTAAGGACAAGGCCAAGCAGAAAGTTAGCTAAGATGATTCTCGTGTCTACAAAAGAATTTTGTTGCAGTTGAAGTTTGCTACAAACGTGCATTGCTCTATTATGCCTTTGTTAGTGGAGGTTGCCTTCAGATTTGTGATATGCTCATAATTATTTGTTTTCAGAATAGGACCTTTTTTTTCCATTTCAGGGTTCATCAAATATTTTCACTTGCTGGCAGTGTTTGATAATTGTACACTTACATCTTTAAATTATTCTTGTAATTATTTTTATTATTCATTGTATAAAAGAAAGAAAAACTCATGTAAGCTTGTAGGAAATATAATATTATCTTCATTTTTCTTGGATTTAGCAATTACGATGAGTTTCACTAGCATTGCTATTTTCGGAGTGGACAAAGTACATAATTTTGTACATCCGTGTGTTTTATATTCTGCACCCAATAATATCCCAAATCTTTCTCTATTCGTAACCAAAATTAATTTAACACAAAAATATCTAAAAATTAGGTTATCAGGTATACACACCGGTTCATTTCAACAAGCCAGTGTAATGGGTGCACCTCATAACTGCCACCATCATGATTAACAAAGTCAAATTCCTGTAAGAGGGCAATTTAAAAAAAGGATAGTTTCGTAACTTCAATTATTTTCCCATCAATATGAAATATTCAACCAAACACTTCATTCTGTTATTTCACTTAATTTCCCTAGTAATATTTTACTTTACCAAACAACTTTTTTTACATTTTCCTACCAAACTTACTTTCCAACCATTTCTCTATCAATTACATTTCCCTAGTATTCAAAAAATTTCTCCTCAACCAAACGCCCCCTTAGTCAAATCAAATGAGTAACATGGTATACTCGCAGGTCAGAAATTAATATAATTTTCAAACATTATATTAATGGTACAATTCTAAGGAGTAGGACTGAAGGTGAAGAACGGAGTTATACAAGTCTCACTCTATGCTTAATGGGGAGAACGAAAATATTACAGAAAGTGCTGCAATAAAGTTTTATTTGTAACTTCTGGCTCCGTTCCCAATTGTAAACATATTTCATGATGTTAATAATAATAAAATAATTTTGTCTCATTCTAATAGATCAGTATATTTCTGTTTGATTTGTAAGCTAACGATATTTATAAAGGACATAAGCACTTATATAATGACAGACTACTATACACAAATAAAAGGCTGTGAGTTAGTGTATGTGCATGCACACAATAACAACTAGCGAGATTAGAATTTTTAGAGACTTACTTAAGAAGTTTAACATTTGCTTATAAAAAGAAGAAGAAGTTTAACATTTTATTTATAGAGAAAATTTACCTGAAAGTGAATAAGACTCATGTAGGGGTGTTCATCAACCGATTCAAACCGCAGTGATCGAACCGAAAAATCGATAACCAAATAAACTGAAAACTGAAAACCGAAAAAAACCGCAAATTTAATTGGATTGGATTGATTTTTGGATGGATTGATGAAAACCGATCCAATCCAAATCGATCTAATATATTAATTTCCCTCTACCTACTTGGATCTTTTCCCAATTATAGCCCAAAAATTTTTAAACCCAAGACCCATTAACTCATCAACTAAACCCAAGAAAAAATATAGTCACATCTCATCAACAAAATTTTATCTTTGTAGAGCTTTATTTCTCATTGCAAAAAAAAAAACTATATTATAATTTACTAATGCTTTTGTATTTCAAAAAAAAAAAATTTACAAAACTAATATATACAAAAGATGTTATTTGCACAATAATCATGAAATAAATTTTAAGATTTTCAAAAAATCAAAAACTGATCCAATCAAAACCGAAAAAAATTGGATTAGATCGAATCGGATTTGAAAAAAATCCAAACCCAATAGATGATTATATGATCGAACCGAAGGGATTAGATCGGATGATATTTGCTTCCAAAACCGATCTAATCCAGACCACAAACGCCCCTAATTTCATTTAATAAAAAATGGGCCCCCAACCTGTAAGGGAAGCTCAGTTGGCAACTGAGCTTCCAAAAGTTTGCTTGGATCAAAGGTTCAAATTTTGTCTCAAGTAATTTCTTCGAAAATATTTGGGGGCCAGAGGACGTGTCTATCTCCTCGAAGGTGGGAAGCGAAGTCCAATGCACCCGCTATTCCAATGAAGGAGCGGAGGAGGTTGAATGAGAATACCCATCCAGGTTTTATACCAAAAAATAAATAAAAAATGGGCCCCTACGTTACAAACTTTATTTATAAATTATGGTTATAGTCGAAAGTTTGTTTATTGGGAAAAACAAATATTACGTAGGAAAATTCTTAAGCCATGTCGTAGAGACAACCAATTGTAGGGTTCATTATTTTTAAAATAAAAAAAAGTAAAAGAATTGATGGGCCCACTTTTGTGTTTGTGTAAGAAAATTGCTTGTGTCATGTTAAAGGAGGAAAACATTATCCTTATTTATTTGAGCAAAATTGTCTATTTATTAAGATCTTAAAGTAATAACAGGAAGAAAATAAGGAGAGTAGTAATATGTTTGCAGAAGAGAAAGTTTTATTTTTTGGTACTAGATATGTAGTATCATGAAATTTGGGCTCTAACAAGGCCTATGGGAGAATTGTGGAATTTCAAGCGAATCTTATTGTAATGTGTAGTTGTACTACGTACTGTTTCTTCAACCCAATCTAGTTTTTAGGAAAAAATAAAAATAAAATAAAATCAGTTAATCTATGCCCCTTTGAGTTCCTTGGATCAGACTCCATAATAAAGTAGAACACTACCTCGTTTGACTTCCTAATGTAAACAATATGCAAACAGAATTGACTGAAACACCATTGTTGACCTTGATAATTCCATGTTCCAACAATTAGTCTTCAAGAATTAAGGACATTGTGAAGCCTAATATTGGTAAAACAAAACTCAAAATTCTCTCTCTTTCACTTATTTAACTTCTCTTTCAAGTTTGACCTCACTGCCTTTGCTTCAATCTTAAGTGACTCTCTGAATGATCTTAAACAAATCACAAAAAGAGTGAAGGAAAACTCTCTCAAACACCACACTCTCAAAAAGTAAAATCTCAAAATGTCAATCACAACAGGAATAATATGTCAAGTAGTTGCATTTTCATTGCTTTTGGGGTCACTGAATGTTTATTCGTTAGAATGTGAAGATGACCGCTGCAAAACTGCTTTGTGCAACAGCACTGGTGCTTGCATTTGCAACCTCCCTGATCCTTCCACCATCTTAGATGGTGATAGATCTTTTCTCGGGTAAAAAACACATCCATATCTCAAAACTCTTCAATTCAACCACTCTTTCTTACAAAGCATTCATACTTTATTTTCAGCATTAATAAAATAAATGAGTGGAGAGGAAAACTATGTCATCAATTAGGCCTATCAAAGAAAAGGGGTCTTACTTTTGACAATTATCACATTCATGATCATAATTTGATATCCTGAATCCTATTAGTTTTAATATTCTTGATTCAATATTGTTTTTGTCAACTTTCTGATTGAGATTATGTATATTGGGGGGCTTGTGGCTATAGGGGTAAGTTTTGTGAAGAAGAAATGACCATGTGTGATGGGACAAACTCTTTCTGGTGTGAACATGGTGCAACTTGTGAGGAGATTGTTCAAGGAGAGAAGTACTCTTGCAAATGTCACCATGGATTTGCTGGGGAGCATTGTGAGGATTCTGGAGCACCCTGTGGTCAGATTTTTTGTTTCCATCATGCTGAATGCTTGGCTGAAACAGGTGATGTTTGCCAGTGTCCACCTGATTGGAAAGGCAGTGTTGATTGCTCTCTTCCAACCACATCATCAGGTTCTCTCCCTTCTTCCTTTCACAAATCACTACCTAGTTTGGATCATGTTGCAAGGAGGGGGGTTTATGTGATAATATATAAATATATATATGCCTGTTTTTGTTGTTTTTTCCACAAGCATGTTTAACCATTTGAAATAACTTTGAACAAAAACCTGAACTCTTTGCAACTTACAAGCTAGAAGTTTTAACCTTGCCAAAACACCCCTTTACTTGTTTAACCTCAGATGCATTATGGAGTTATTAATTGATTGAAAAATGTTGAAATTTCCAATCACACCTTAAATTGAAATGTGAAAGAACATGCATGGCTAGTTAGAGAACTTATAGGCTTACCTAATAGATTATCTGCCGCAGATTTTTACTCAAATTCAAGTACCACAGCATTGCCTAAAGTAAGCAACAGTAGTGAAACCAATGTGAGTATAACACAAATACTCCTCAGCTCAAATTGTTCTTATTATCCCATGTTACAATTTGATGACTATGTGCTATTGTCAAGTACAGAAAACACTGGCTGTCTTGGCAGTTTCTTCAATGGGAGCAGTTGCTGCTGGTGCCATTTATGGTAAGAAACTATACAGCAAGAAAAAGAAAGATGAAGTTAAGTTCCAACAATTATCAGAAATGCGGATTCAAGGGGTATTCTTAGATGATGATGATGACGATGAAAACCACATCATGGTACCTGAGAGGGTTCATGGTGATATCTCACACATATAGAGGGCACATCCTTTTTCCAAGATAAGAACATTTTAGGATTCTTAGCCAAATAGTTTTCACAGGGTCTCACTGACACTAGATTTTAATTTTGTAATCATATGATTGTGCTTAGTTATATTGTTATAAGATGTCATACAAGAACATCTTAGTTTTAGCTATCATGGGATTTTAGAGCAGAAAATGCTGGGTTTAAGTTCTTTGGTCCTAAAGACTGTTAATTGGCACTTTCATTTTTCTTCCTTATGCAATTACAATGGACACCTTCAGGGAAATTTGGTTTAAGTTGCAATCTTTTTTTCAAAAAAGACTGACTTTAGAAAATGAAAACATTAGGACACGTTAAGAAAATTTCTTTTTTTATTTAATATTTATTAATAATTACAAAAATATTACATTGTTTTCTGTTATGGGTTGGGCCTTGACATGGGTTAGCCCAATGAAACACATCAAATCAACAAGTCGCAAACTTTTGTAAACCACCAAAATCTAACATTTAGATTTCGGATCTGCCGCTGCTATCCCATACAGACCATCATTCACGCGAATCAACGTTATTAAACTCGAGATCTTAAGTAAAATCAGAAGGGGATTAAAAAGTCATGAAACATAAAATCATAATGTAAAAAAATCGTAAAAACATAAAAGTGTTTAGAATATTAGTAAATCGTTTTGATGAAAAAAAAAACGTAAAAACATAAAATCGTAGTGATAAATCGAGATTTTAACAACAATGACACGAACAAAACTAACCTTCCGTACATGTGCATCCCAAAATATATAATTTATAATTTCATTTCAAACTATTGTAGAATGGGAGTATATTAGATTTTTCCCATTTACACACAATTCATTCGTCTTAATACTAAATTAATAATGCATATGTAAATTGTGTAACTCAGTAACCCACAAATGGGTCTCTTCCATACAAGGCTTCCCTTATGTAAGGTGATGCTCACCCTACGGCTACAATTATATGTCAAATTTAATACCACCTTTCCTCCATGCTTTAAATATTAATGTGCAACCCAATGAGTGCAGCTCAGTTGGTAATTTGGCGCTGAGTTAGTGGGGTTGGATATGTGTTCGATTCTCGCTGAATGCATTCTTGGGGAGGGGGCTGAATCTTTAGCCATCACTGTTCCCCCGCACTCCGGATTAGTCCCATAGCCGGCTCAAAGAGTCGAAGCTCGTGGGGATACCGGAGGGAGCCAACTCGTCTCAAAGAGTCGAAGTTCGTGGGGATACCGGAGAGAGCCAACTCGTCTCAAAGAGATAATTAGGGTTGAGTAACTCAAAAAAAAATAAAATATTAATGTGCATATTTATTTCCGGAGCACTAGAGATTGCAGAATCACCAATATGAGATCGCCTAAGACAAACTCGGATCCCTTACGGATCATTTTTCATATTGTTTTCTGTTTTTAAGTGTCTGTACGAAAAATGAAAATAACATGATGACATTTTGTAATTATTAATTAAATTAAAAAGTAAAAAAAAAAATCTTAAACTAAACAAGTTCTAAAACATACCAAAAAAAAAAGTTGCTGGTCTTAGGTGAGATTCTACAAATAAAGTGGTGCTTAGATTCTACGTTTGTAATTATAATTTGGGGCAAAATACATAGTTAAGTTACAAAATTAAATAAATAAAAATTAAGAATATATATGTATTATTTCTTTAAAAATAAATTATAAAATAAATTAGTATTTAAAAAAAATATAATTTAATATGGAACGGTGACCTTTTTTTTTTTTTTTTTATTCCGATCTAACTATGAGACTAAACTCAGTTAAAGCTTTTTGTCTTATCCAAAGATATATTTGATTATAATTGAATCTAAATTTTTCAGATTTCTTTCTTATTTGCTCAACTTATGTTGCTATCTGAGTTCTACTCATTGAGTATATTTACTATAATTACATTTAAATCACATTCAGATCGAGAAGAGATAGAAAAAAATATTTAATATATAGAAATGCATTGATTATTTTTATTTATTCACGTGCAAAAATTTACAAACCACAATGTGACCATGTTGGTAGAGCCGTCAGGTCTCTAATATCTTAAGAGGCAAGTCAACCCAACAAGAGTTAATTAAGTCCAAAACAAAAAAGCATCATCGTATCATAGATTTTCTGTGTTTATTTTTTTAGTATTTAGCTAATGACTCATAATTCTCATTCTCTTGTTGTCATTACCACATTCTCTCACCAACAAAGATTTTTCTTTTCATTATTATTTAATTAATCCACTAATACCCATTTGCGTAACTCACTCTACGGCGTCTCCATGATCAGAGAATTGCCACCAAAATTACAAGAATAATAATAAAAAAGATGGCTTTCAATTTCATTCTATGGTGTCATCCCAAGCTGATTCTAAGCGTTTTTGTGCTCTTTTCTTGTTCCTTTGGCTTTCTCTCTGCAAATGATGAACTGGGCACAGGTGAAACCTTTACTGTTTCAAGCTTCAGCTACCCTGAGACTAGGCTCAGGCCCTTTGATTGGCGCTATATTAGAGGTGTGTGGGCCAATTGGCAGTGACCCTTTTCTTTATAGTGATTATCATTTGCTTTGTTGTTGTTGTTGTTGTGGTGGTGGTTGATCATGAAGCATTACCTTGTGTGAATTTTAATGGGTAGGAATTGAATTTCAATGTAAAGGTGAATTTATAGGAGAATGATTTCCCTTCTCTTGTTTTCCTTTGATCTTACTTCGTCTGTTGAGTCTCTTGAGGATTATGCAAATTGGTCTGTTTTCCTGTATTGCAGGGCTCCCTCTTGAGGAAAATCTAGGATATAATGGTGTCAATTTTTTTTGTCTTTTTTTATTATTTATATATTTTTGCTATGATGTGCGAAAGAGTCTTTTTGCAAATATGCAAAGGTAAAACTGGGTACAATGATTGATTTTATGAAATCACGAGTCTTATGTTTTCTTTTGATATAGAGATTTCAGAGATGGATAAACAGATTATATGGCATTATTTTACTGGTGTAGCCTTATAACCGTAACATTGGAAGAGCCATAAGTTGACTTGAAACATAGGATACAATCTTTTTTTTTTTTTGGTGTTTGTCATTTGTTGTTTAATTTGTGCTACATTGAATTTGTTACATTTAACTACTATCATCAGAATCCCTATATGAGCAAGAAATGGATAACAATCAGCTTTGTGTCATTTACTTTTGCTGAGTTTCAGCTTTGGCTAACTTTTTTACCTTCCTTGTGCTTTGGTGATTCAATTGGTTATATGATTATGAATTCTGTTATTTTGAAAAACTTAAAAGATTTTTTTTAACAAAAAAAAAAAAAAGAAAACTAATTTTCAGATATACGTGGACTTATGGATGATCTTACTTGTCTCCTGATGTTTCTATTGCTCCAGTTGACTTGCCGCCATGGTTTTCTGCAGTGTCTATAGCATTGAACTCAGATGTAGACCTTGTAAGTATATCCATACTTCTATGTTGATAGGGTCACCTTAGAATAACAGCATCTATATGATGCTTGTTGCCTTTGGATTTAATTTATTTCATATTGTTTTATAATGCCTCATATTACATGAAGTAAAAATGCAAATGACATACTTCTCTGATAAAGAGTCCTGTTTATATTTGCTTTTAAAATTCTCTTGATGTAACTATTACAATTGTCATTGTTGGTTGTGCTACAGAAAAATTTCATAAGAGTGCTCATCAGGATATCATCTTTCTGTTTAATCAGCTCTGGTTTATTTGCCTTGCTCATTTGTTCATACTTTATATATATATATTGTTTACAGGATGTCTCAAGAATTGAAGGGGTTCCAAAGAGCACACTGCCAATAATATGCTTTAGAGATGGAAGTCCTCCACTACCAGATGCCTTAAACACATCTATGAAAGATTCAGCCATCTCTGGTAGGAGACCCAACTAAAAAACTCAACTGAAGTTAATTAAACTTTTTTTTTTTTTTTTAATTAAAGTTCAAGAACATAAATTCTGTCTTAAATTTCCCTCTAATAGTATTACTTACGAACTTAGTTTGTGAAAAACCAAGAAATTGCATTTGAGTATACCCTATTATCCATCAACATGATACAACCTTTGGAGTCCCAATAAGTTCTTAGTATTCATTAAATTAGCGTCTTTCTTGAGGAGCGGGTTCTTGTTTTGATTCAATAGTATGTATTTAGTTTTTCCCCCTCTCCATTATTTTATGTGCTCTACTATGATGGTTTCTTTGGTTATCATGTAATGGATGATAGTGAACTTGCGAATGTGCAATGTTTTCTTTATTTCCTACTTTTGTGCTTTATTTTGAATCACGTTGACAATACTCATTCATGGATTCAAATCCTGTCCCTTTAATTGAAAGTTGTCAACTCATTAAAATAATTGACAACTAAGAGATAAGGTATTGCCATTTAAGAGAGAGAGAGAGAGAGAGAGAGAGAGAGAAATTTTTTGGCTGAGTTGACATTATTCCATTGGAGGGATAGTGAAAGGGACAGGAAAAAGGGGGACAGAAGATTCCAATCCCCCATTCAGTTGTTCTCTCTGTCATTCTCTACCTACCTTCTTGACAAGAAAGAATAGACAATTTTTTTTTTTTTTTGAACTTTCTGGTGTTGTGTCCCATTATTACTTTTTGTTCCGTTTCCTTCAGGCATAAATGGTCTAGATGTGGAGCAGTGCTTTCCTATGCAGAAAAATATCACTATGAAACTGACAAACAATCAGGTATTATTGTAGGTCCTTTTTACTTGAAGCAGTATCTTTTATTTGTTAACGCTGCCGGCATTGTGTCTTCTAGCTCAGCATCTCCTTATGCTTATAATGACTTAGAAGTACCAGGCTTAATATTAAGATTCTGATTGTCAAGGACCATTTCTCTTAAAAGCTTAAGTTATTAGATAAAGGAACAAGATCAATTTTATATCTTTAACATGCACCCTCATGCTAGAGTCTTCTTGGCTTGAAGTGCAGTGCAGATAATGTCCCAGCCCACTCTATTTTGTGCTGATATTCAACTTTAATTATGAAGAATGGGGGCAGCAATATAGACCGTGATACTATGTCAAGGATTAACCCCCTTAAAAGATTTAGCTATTAGGTGCACAAGTTTAGTTTTATATCTCTAAAGCCTATATTACTAGTGGAGAAGCGTTAGTTCACAAGTAATTTTTGTTTAGTTCTTTTTATAATACCATAAACAGTAAATGTAAGAAATTATTTTTCAGATATCTCCAGGTGTTTGGTACATTGGTCTTTTCAACGGCATTGGACCGACAAGGACACAGTCGAAGATGGTAAGGTTTATTATGCAGATATTACTTCTATCCAAAAGAAATCTGAACATTCAAAGTGTGTTTCATCACTTGTTGGAACAGTTTGTAATCCTTAGTGTGCTGTCTCTTTAATGCATTTCCATGCTAGAAGGGAAGGCTTTATGTTGAAGCACTTACTATCTTTTAACATTACTGTGCATAACTAAACAGAATTGTTTCTTTTTGAATCCTGAATTTGGTGGTGGATTTTATTGTTACTTTTTCCTCTTTATTCTAAATGTTGTTTACATTTCAATCTTTTCTTGCTTTCTGTTTAGGTTCACCTACCACCGACCCCAACTAGTTTGGGATGAAGGTGATGTTGATGATTCTAAATTTTGTTTACAAATCGTTTAACTTTTAATCTATGTTATCGTGATCTAAATCTTCTAAAATAATAATTTTATTAATAAATATTCAATTCAATCCATGATTAACTCCAAGTTTTCTGCAAATAATACTACTTCAAAATAAATCAAGTACTTCTGTTTGGCAAAAGAATATTGTTATTATTATTTGGATTGTCATAATGTTAGAATTTCCAGCCAACGATTTCTGGTCTTCTAGTGAATATTCTTTGGGATGGGTATAATTTCCATGCTTCAATGTGGGTTTATACTCATGATTTTTTTCATAAGGTGGTTTCTTTGTCAGATACACAGAGGGCTTGGCAATTGAGTCAAATTTAATTGTGTCATTCAGATGAAAGATTGTTCAGTGTACCTAGTGTAACACATCATTTCTATATACTAGCCCACTTTCTTTCTTTAAAGCTAGTGGAAAGATTCAATTTTTGAGCACTTAGAAAATGGGTTTTAAAGATTTCTATTTGACTCATTCTATCTCACTCAGCAAAGGTCTTGACACATTAACAACATATGGATGAATAAACAGTCACTTCTCTGTCTCTGCAGATTATCCGAGGCTCAGCATACTCCTACATTGCCAATATAAGTGTTGAAGCATGCACAAATCCAATCATGAGGGGGGATTTCTGTAACAGTACAGTTTATCCACTTTCTTGCACAGCTTCTGATGTCAATAATGCTTTGGAGGCTACAACTAACAATCCGATGTTGGAAATTTTGGTGACCTGCAAAAGTAATTTTGAAACTTTTTGTGTTCATGAAGGTGTAACAAACTTCCTCTCCTTGGATATAATGAATGTGGCAGAAGAATTTACCATTATGGCAACAAATGTCAGATTAAATGTTACACCTTCAAATAACACTTCTGGTGCAAATGATGTTAGTTTAATGTGTTTTATTCGCCATGGTGCAATGCCTTCAGTGACTTTGCATGATTATTTCAGTGATCTATATAAAGCACCCCTGGTTATTCCATCACCATCAATTGGTCGTTGGTACATTAGTATAGTACCAGTCAATCTTACAAAGACTCAGGATAGTGATGTAAGAGTTTGTTATTCAGTGGAATCTCATGTTCTTCATTGCCCACTTGGGAAAGCTGGACCCAATTGTACAATGGATAGCTACATGCTTCAGGTAGTATTCTTAGCAAAATGTGCCTCTGCCTCTATTTTTTTCTTTGTGCTCTAACCTTAAGTGGTTTCTTTATAATATTTTGATAATGGACTCAAAATGTGTCAATGTGATATTTCTTGGATTATGAAACTACATTTAACGTTACAAATAGGTAGAATCAGGATATGATCAAATGTAGTCATATCTCGCTCACTACAAAAATAAAAAATGAAATATTATAGTATGAATATTAACTTTCTGCTAGCAAATTAAAGACTTTGATAACATCTGAACTGTACAAATCAGAGAGATGAATGCAGTATGCAGAAATAGGAATCTGTCTTATCTCAGTGAAATCAATAGTGTAACTTGAATATAAAAGAATATGTTGTGTATTGATCTAATTCAGAGGGTTACAATATATAGAGACTCTAATAGGCTTATATGAAAAGCCCAGACCTAATACAATCAGAATAATTACAGACTCTAATCATATCTAATCAGACTAATCATATCTAATCATATCTAATATATTCTAACACTCCCCCTCAAGCTGGTGCGTATATCTTATGAGCACCAAGCTTGTTACAAATGTATTGAACCCGAGGACCTCTAAGAGCTTTAGTGAAGACATCCGCTAGTTGATCAGAGGAGTTGACGAAAGCAGTCTTGATTTCTCCTGATTGAATCTTTTCTCGAATGAAGTGACAATCAATCTCTATATGTTTGGTCCTCTCATGAAAGACAGGATTAGAGGATATATGTAGCGCAACTTGATTATCACAAATGAGTGTCATGGGTTGTTTCTGTTCACAAAGATGAAGGTCTTGAATCAACTGCTTTAACCAGATTAACTCACAGGTAGTATTTGCCATTGCACGATACTCAGCTTCTGCACTAGACCGAGCAACTACAGGTTATTTCTTACTCTTCCACGAAATTAAGTTTCCTCCAAAGAAGACACAATAGCCGGAAGTAGAGCGCCTGTCCGAGGGTGATCCTGCCCAATCAGCGTCTGAATAACAACAAATTTCTGTATTTCCCTGATCTGAATACAACAAACCTTTTCCTGGTGCTCCTTTGATGTATCGGAGGATTCTCACAGCAGCATCCCAATGTGAATTACAAGGGGAATCAAGGAACTGACTAGCCGTACTAACAGCGAAAGAAATATCTGGCCTAGTCACAGTAAGATAATTGAGCTTCCCAATTAGCCTCCGATAACGTCCAGGATCAGATAACGGCTCCCCCTGTCCGGGCAATAACTTGACATTAGGATCCATGGGTGTATCAACTGGTTTACTCCCCAACATACCAGTTTCTTCGAGGATATCCAAGGCATACTTCCTTTGACAAATAGAGATGCCCTGTCTAGATTGCGTCACCTCAATTCCCAAGAAGTAACGCAGCTTCCCAAGGTCATTTGTTTGAAATGCACTGAATAAATGCTGTTTTAACTGACGAATTCTGTCTTGATCACTTCCGGTAAGAATGATGTCGTCAACATAGACTAACAAATAGATGCACTTGTCAGGAGATGTAATCCTATAAAATACAGAATGATCAACTTTACTGCGGATTAAGCCAAACGCCTGAACGGCAGAACTGAAGCGACTGAACCATGCTCGAGGAGATTGCTTGAGACCATATAAGGATTTTCGAAGACGACACACTTTTCCAGACTCCCCCTGAGCAACAAAACCAGGTGGTTGCTCCATGTAAACTTCCTCTTGCAAATCACCATGAAGAAAGGCATTTTTGATGTCAAGTTGAAGGAGTGGCCAGTGACGAACAGCAGCAAGGGCAAGAAATAGGCGGACTGACGCCATCTTAGCGACCGGAGAGAATATATCGCCATAATCAAGGCCAAAGATTTGAGTAAAACCCTTGGCAACTAGGCGTGCCTTGAGTCGATCAACATGACCATCAGGTCCAACTTTTACAGTAAACACCCAGCGACAACCAACTATAGACTTCTCTGGAGGAGCAGAAACAAGGTCCCAAGTGCCATTGGAATGAAGTGCAGTCATCTCATCAAGCATCGCTTGGCGCCACCCTGGATGGGAAAGTGCTTCACCTGTGGTTTTAGGAATAGAAATAGAAGAAAGACTAGAAACAAAGGTGAAATGAGATGAAGAAAGACGGTCATAGCTCAAAAAGGTATAAAGAGGATAAGGGTTACGAGTAGTACGTGTACCTTTTCTTTGAGCAATAGGAAGAGCCTCTGGTGAAGGATCCGGAGGGGAAGAATCAACTGCAGGGGACAATGAGTCAGCAGGAGTCGAGTCGACAGGAGGCACAGTTTTACGACGCTGATAAGTGAGAAGTGGACGGTCCACAGGTATTGAAGCATGAGGTTGCTTATCTGGAATAGAAGTACCTGCAACTGGCAAAGACAAGTCAAGAAAAGGGACAAGAAGAACATGATCAACCTGTGACAATTGAGATGGGATAGAATGAAAGGGTTGTTGATCAAGAAAAGTGACATCAGCGGAAACTAAATAACGCTTAAGATCTGGAGAATAACAACGATAACCCTTTTAAAGATCAGAATAACCAAGAAAAATACATTTAAAAGCTTTGGATGTTAACTTGTCCTTACCAGGGGTGAGATCATGAATAAAACAGGTACAACCAAAGACATGTGGGGATAGAGGATAGAGAGGAGCATCTGGAAGCAATAAGTGATAAGGAATGGCATTATCAAGCACAGATGAAGGCATACGGTTGATGAGAAAAGAAGAGGCAAGGACTGCATCGGCCCAGAAGTGAAGAGGGACATGCATGTGAATAAGAAGAGTCCGTGCAGTCTCAATGAGGTGTCTATTCTTACGTTCAGCTACTCCATTTTGTTGTGGAGTGTGAGGACAAGTAGTTTGGTGTAAAGTACCCTGTTTGGCTAAGAAATTAGAAAAGTCCACAAAAACATATTCCTTAGCATTATCACTACGTAAAATACGAATAGAGGCACCAAATTGAGTAAAAATTTCAGCAGAAATTTTTTTATAAATAGAAATCAACTCAGAATGGTTTTTCATTAAATAGATCCAAGTACAACGAGAAAAATCATCAATAAAGGTAACAAAATATCGAAAACCTAAAACAGACACACTACGACTAGGACCCCAAATATCTGAATGAATAATTGAAAAAGGAGCATCAGCTCGTTTATTGACTCGATTAGCGAAGGAGGAGCGTATGTGCTTTCCTTGCTGACATGACTGACAATCTAAAGTCTGAAGACCGGAAAAAAGAGGAACCCTCTTCTGTAACTTGGAAAGATTAGGATGCCCGAGGCGACTGTGGATGAGTTGTGGAGATTCTGTGAGAGAACAAGCAACGGAAGGACTCGGCACAACCAGGTAGAACAGACCCCGTGACTCACGGCCCACTCCAATCGTCTTCCCCGTACCCGGGTCCTGCACAGAAACAAAACGATTTGAGAAAGTGACAATACAGTTAAGAGAGGTGATCAATTTACTAACAGATATTAAATTGTAAGGGATGTGAGGAATATAATAGACAGATGTTAAGGTCAATGAGGAAGTTGGACAGATTTGTCTAATTCCATGAACAGGAGCCTTAGTGCCATCAGCAAGGGTAAAAGAGGGTAAGTTATCAGAATATGTAAGGGATGAAAAGAGTTCCTTATTACCACAGAGGTGATCAGTAGCACCTGAGTCAAATATCCAAGGGCCAAGTGATGCAGAATGAGAAACACAAGCAACGGGATTACCAGTTTCTAAAGCAGAGGCCTGAGAGTGAGGAGAGACCTTTCTGAGAAGAGTCTGGAATGCTGCATAGTCTTCAGAAGAGAGAGAGACTGTACCATTTGAAGCAGAATCCGATTGAGCTATATTAGCAGCATAAGAAGGTCGCAGGTGAGGGTACTTTGTGTAGCAACGTTCCTCATAATGACCAAGTTGCTGATAGTAATTACAACGAGGTCGCTGACCACGTCCGACTGGGCCTCCTGGGCCACGTCCTCCTGGGGCTCCTGGACCACGTCCTACGGGGGCTCCTGGACCACGTCCCCCCGGGCCTCTACTACGACCACGTCCACCTCCAATGTTCCCGCGAAAGTCAGTACGAGAAACTAGAGCAGTAGAATCAACAGCAGAAGACGATGCAGGAGCAGATTTCTTATTCAGATTCAGAAGACGCTGATTCGTCATTGAAAGATCAGGCTCCCCACTAGTCAAGATAGTATCCCGGACATTATCATATTCTTCAGGGAGGCCAGACAGTGTGGCAACCATAAAGAGGCGTTCCACCTGTTTCCGATATGCAGTAGCATCAGTAGGGTAAGGCAACATATCCAAATATGCCTGCATCAAAGATCGACTCTTGCCAACATATGTTTCCATCTGAATGTCAGATGATTTGCTCAGTTCCATAAACTGAGAGATGATGAAATAGAGCTGCTGAACATCATTAGTGTAGAGGTTTTTTGCTTCCTGCCACACTTCAGTACAAGTTTCAAACGAATAGAAGATGTCCAAGACAACTGGATCAATAGATTGCCAGAGGATGCTCAGAAGCTGGTTGTCGATCTTTTCCCAATCAGACTTTGTCTCCTTAGGGACATTAGTAGACTTAGTCGTGAGGTGGTTCCCATGTCCTTGGCCAAAGAACCAAACTCGAACAGAGGTGGCCCAGTTCTTGTAATTAACAGAACCCTTCAATTTTGAAGAGGTAATGGACCCAACATTGGTAGAGATGATATTGGGAAATTTTTTGACAGGAGGAGGTTGAGAATTGACCTCCGAATAATCAGAATCATTTGCTGCCATGATATTATATAGGAGATGACCAAATCTGTACGGACGGATGAACAATGTTTTGTACGGACGGTGAATAGTAACGGTACGGTCGCGTCGAACAGTGAAAGCGTACGGACGGTGAACAGTGCAGACTGTACGGACGGTGAACAGTAACTGTACGGACAGTGAACAGTACCTGTACGGACACGATGAACACTATTTTTTTTTTTTTGGAAAACCGCGTGAACAGTGTAGAACTAAGCCGGAGGGACGCACGGCGTTAGAGGAAGGAGAGAACGCCTAAGCAGTGGGCTTAGGGTTTTTAGCGGAAGCGAAAATTCCCAGAACAAAGAGCTCTGATACCAACTTGAATATAAAAGAATATGTTGTGTATTGATCTAATTCAGAGGGTTACAATATATAGAGACTCTAATGGGCTTATATGAAAAGCCCAGACCTAATACAATCAGAATAATTACAGACTCTAATCATATCTAATCATATCTAATCAGACTAATCATATCTAATCATATCTAATATATTCTAACAGTGTACATGGGGTGCTTGTCCCTTGGGAGTTCATTTTTTGACTCCTTTGCTAGGATAAGCTGAACTTTCGTTTTATGATATTTGAGATTTAAACTATTTTATGCCCAATGCTGAAAAATAAGACTTAAAGAACTTGTTCAAGATATTAATATTACTCATATAGAATTAAAATATTGGCACTTTTCACTAATGAAGTACTATCCAACAGGATTCTGAAATAGTATTTTTTTCTTGGTTTGTTGACATAGATTTAAGTTTAAGAACACCATGTGATAGAGTCTATAAAGAACCAATTCAACTCAAAAGTTTAAGTTGTTAGGTGAGGCTACATTAGTGGTTTTATATTATATTTTTCTAACACACCCCTTCACATGAGAGCACATTGGACTTAAAGGATGGACAATGCACAGACCTCTCCTACCTATGCTAAGAAATTTCACAATATTTAATTATTTATTAATAGAATGAGTGGCAGTGAGAATCAAACTTTTGACCATTTATTTGGTCATGGAGGCTTTGATATCAAGTAAAGAATGAATTCAACCAAAAAGCTTAAGTCTGTTAGGTGAAGCTATATTAATGGTTTTATATTATATTTTTCTAACAGAATTAGTTCTATATCTTGATACTTGAAGATATTTATAAACTGGAATAATCCATTGACAAGATGAGAATGATTGTCTGCAGACATTTGTAAGGAGAGGTTCAACCCCCTTTGAGTCATATTATTTACCAGTTGGTAGAGGAGCATCTTATGATTCTGCCAATTTCCCTCTTGAGCCACTTTTAAGAAACTCATCATACAATGGAGAACCTGAAAACATTTGGACTTACTTTGTTTTGGACATTCCTCGTGGTGGAGCTGGAGGAAATATTCACATACAGCTATCCTCGGATGTGAAGATCAGTTATGAAGTTTATGCTAGATTTGGTGGATTACCATCTCTTGATAGCTGGGACTATTATTATGCTAACAAGACAAGGAGAAGTGATCCATCTACGTTTTTCATGTTATATGATTCAAGTGATGACAAGGTTAATTTTTATATCATGTATGCTAGAGAAGGAACTTGGGGTTTTGGTCTAAGACATCTTAATACCAGCAGTGATTCTGTGACGGGGCTAACTATCATGTCTCTTTCACTTGAACGATGCCCAAAAAGATGTTCCTCTCATGGGGACTGTAAATTTTCTTTTGATGCTAGTGGATTGACATCATACAGGTTTATCTTTAGCCCTTTGCTCATTCTTATTTTATCAGTTTGTTTACATTTCATTTGTTTTCTTTAAATTGCTAGGATAGAATACAAAAGCCCTTGGTAATGACTGAGGCACTGTGAAATAAAAAATAAACAATCAGATGTCATATTGTGGAGTTTCCAGCATTTGTTCCCCAACTTATTAAGGAATTAACGATTTACTTTTTTGTCTCAGCTTCTGCTCTTGTGATCGAAACCATGGAGGCTTTGACTGTAGCATTGAAATTGTAACTCATCAAGGTGCTTGTTCATTTTTGAGACAAGTATCTTAGTTTAACTCTTATTGTATTTATCTGATTCGCTCTATTCAACTAAGAAAATAATTGTCTATTAACTGACAGTATATATCAGAAAAATCCAACGAAGTTGTTTACAAACATACTCTTTTCGATAATATTTTTTGTGCATGTGTCGGTACATATTGTTATTGTAAAGAACCAATTCAACCAAAAAGCTTAAGCTGTTGGGTGAGGATACATTAATGGTTTTATATATATCTCAACACGCCCCCTCACACGAGGGCCCACTGGGCTTGAAGGGTGGACAATGCACAGGCCCACCTACCTGTGCGAAGAAAGAAATTTCACTAGAAAGAAAGTAGGTGGCGGGGCTGTGAGGATCGAACACGGTACACCGAGGCTCTGATACCATGTAAAGAACCAATTCAACCCAAAAGCTTAAACTGTTGGGTGAGATTACATTAATGATTTTATATATCTCAACAGTTATATACGTCTACTTATATACAATTTGCATGGTTCTTGAAGAAGTAATCAACTGACCAGATGTGGACCTTACTGTTTCTTTGCCAATCCATTTCTTTCTTGTTGCGATCTTACAAAACAAAATTGCAACATGTACCATTGAATGCATTTGCTGAGTTTATACTAGGGTAAACACGCAAGTTCACCGACAAAAACATGTTCACCTGCTTCAAAGCTCTTTGCCAGTCAAATTCCCTCACCCTACATTTTGTCCATTTTTTGCTTTTAAATGGCCTGCAAAGCATGTGACAGAAAGCTGCTGAGTATCAACTTTATTTCTATTTTGCTGTTACAAATTTATAATTCTTGTTGTGTAACTTATTTATTAGTTATAAATATGGGTATTTGTTTGTTTTATTCTTTTTTCATTTTATGATGCACCTGTAGTAATTTTTTTTGCAGATATCAAAACATGTTTTTTTTATTTGGTAATTTTAATTAAGTATGTAAGCTTGGTGAGCTTATAAGTTAAATTTAACTCTTCACTTGTTTACTTAAACTCGTGAGTTTGACAACTTCGGTCTAAATATATATACAGTTAAAATCCAAGTATGCTCAACTCCTACTTTGCTCTTCATTGTATATTTGCTATTGAATTTTGATTTCCAATATGGTGTGCCAGATATTTCTTATATTTTTTGTTTCTTAATCCAGTTATTGAAAATTTGTGTAGGACATGTGCGGGAATCAATTTTTCTCATTGTATCAAATGCTGCAGCCATACTTCCTGCCTATTGGGCCCTTCGGCAGAAGGTGGTTCTTTCCCTTTACTTTTTTTTACTCTTGGTGACTTTTATTATCTCATTATATAGATTTTGTGGTGACATGGAACACATAGTTTCCTTTTTCTTTTTTATTTATGCAAAACCCATAATTTCCTTTATGCAGGCATTTGCAGAATGGATTTTATTTACATCCAGTGGAATTTCAAGTGGACTATATCATGCATGTGATGTAGGTACCTGGTGTGCTTTGAACTATAATGTCTTACAGGTTAGAGCTCTGCCTTCAATATTCCCTCTTGCTCTTTCTGAAAATGTATAGAAAGAGAAGTTTTTGGAACTAGAAACGTTATGTCACTGGCATAGCTATTACAAGTTAAACCTATGCAGTGGAAGCACAAGCCTTGGGCATCTGTCATAGTTAGCCTGTACACATGCTTAGATGATGAGCTAAAATTTAATTTCTGTTTAGATATATAGTCCCACATTGGCTGTATGTACAACTAATGTGGAGTTTATAAGGTCTTGGGCACTCCCACCCTTTGAGCTAGCTTTTGGGGTGGTGTATCCCAAGGTTCTTTACATGGTATCAGAGCCTCGTCGCCCCCCACTTTCTCTTGTGGAATTTCTTAGCACAGGTAGGCTGAGCCTGTTGCATTGTCCACGCTTCAAGCCCAAAAGGGCTCTCGTGTGAGAGGGCGTGTTGAGATATATAGTCCCACATTGGTTGTATGTGCAACTAATGTGGAGTTTATAAGGTCTTGGGCACTTCCACCCTTTGAGCTAGTTTTTGGGGTGGTGTATCCCAAGGTTCTTTACAATTTCCTTTAAGGATAGTATGATCCAAAATACAATGTAATACAAAATGGCTATACTTGTTCTCCTGAGAATTTACAATGGCTTTACATATCAATGTTTCAGTTCATGGACTTCTGGCTCTCTTTCATGGCTGTGATTAGCACTTTTCTTTATCTAGCTACCATTGACGAGGTATTTAAGAGGGCAATCCACACAGCTGTTGCTATCCTTACTGCCCTAATGGCTGCAACAAAGGCAACAAGGTATATGAACTAGTAGACTGACAATTCACACACACCATTAAAGATGTTTACGTCATCTTCATATTTATCTATGCTGATTTATGCAGGTCTTCAAATGTTGTTCTTGTGATTGTGATTGGTGCTCTTGGTCTCCTTATTGGATGGTTGATAGAGATCTCAACAAAGTATAGGTCGCTTTTCTTTTCAATTCGGTTCTCAGTTAATTTCTCTCACAGGTGAGAATTTCTGTACTTAAGAGAGTAATTTGTTTGAGTGCAATATATATTGGTTACAGGTAACATAGTAGCAATTGATGGCACAGTGCTTTATTTTCATATTTTTTATTTTTCATGCATTCACTGCCTATTCATGGTTAGCCATTGTTGCCGATCCCTCCGACCCCCATAAGTTTTGTGGTTGATTGTAGCAAGATCTAGCTCCATGACTACCTTAAATCTCATTTGGGTTAAACCTTAATAGGCGTCTTCAAGGTTGTAATTTCATATACTGAATTCATGGTCTGATAACAGTTTTATGCTTTTATATTAAACTTGGCATGTGCTTGATGATGAACTCGTGAACACTGCTGATGAGGTTATGACTTAATATATAACTAAAGGAAAAGTATTTCTCCCGTTAGTGGAGATAAAATTATCTCCTGCAATCCCAAAATAATTTCGTTTTGGAGTTCCAAAAGATAATTTTATCTCTTGTGACAGAAGAAACAATAAACCATATAACTAAATAAGTAGTAACGATGAATTTTCGCTGCAGTTTGCAAAGTATAAAACGATGGCTACGTAATGTTGTTGATACACTTTTGAGACGGTACCGTTGGGCTTTTGCCTTGGCTGGTTTTGTTGCATTGGCCATGGCAGCAATAAGCTGGACACTTGAAACCAGTGAAAACTACTGGTTTTGGCATAGGTATTACAATATTGCTACTATCCTCTCTCACTCTCTTTCTGTCTTCTCTATCTCATGTTTGCACTCTTTTGATATGTTTACAGCTGTTGGCATATTACAATATACACATCATCTTTCTTCTTCCTTTGTTCAAAAGCAAATACCGTGGACAGTGAGAATCAGCTATCTACAGATGGAAACTATGAACTGACTCATCAGGACTCACTTCCAAGAGGTGGTTAGAATAATATATATGGAATAGGTGGGTGTGAAGACTGAAGAGGGTAGATAAGTGGATCTTATAGGATTTTAATGTTGTGTTTAAGGTAAGTTCATGTGAAGGTGGCACAAAAATGTGCCAGTATTGAATAGGAGGAAATGAGGAATATATGACTGCTGACTTGGATAAGAAATCATCCTAGGAGTGAATTCTGAGGCCAATAACAAGTGATGAAGCAAAGCAGTCTCTTGTAAATTCTTGTCAGCATAAGGTTTGTTTCTGGCATTCTTTATAGGATGTTTTTGCTTTAAGTATCTCTAGGATAAAGAATCAAACTAGGGATAAATTTTTGTCATAGGATAATAGGGCATTGTTTATGTAATTATAGCTTAGAAGATAACTTGCCTTTGAAATGTGTCATATTAAGAGATCTTCTGATAAAAGCAACTCAACATAATGGATCTTATTTACTTCAGCAGTTTCTTCATAACTTAACTCCAGTTCGCTATTTTATGAAAATGAAAAAAAAAATGGAGAAGTTCGCAATACACCTTATAAAATACAAGGTTGAGATAAAAACATAAAGAAAGAAAAAGAAAATGTCTTTTACTATTGATGAAGACACTAGCACATGTAATAGTGGGGTATAAATTCTAAAATGAAAAATTTCTAAGTATTCTACTTTCACAACATAACTCTTGTTTAAGTTGTTGATAGTAATGTGATTATATCTCAGTTTTCCCCCCTAAAACATTGAAGTGGGACTAACATAATTCAAAGGTAATTATAACAAACAGTTAAGCGCAATTTATTTTGTAATAATTTTAGTAAGGAACATTACTAAAGTCAGATTACATAAGAGAAATAAATAAATAAACTGAAACTGTCTATGTTTCTATTATCATTACATTAATAATTACAAACATAATTAGAGATATTACAAAATAATGTCATTTTTTATGATAATGAACATTTAGGTATCTAAATCTACCTTTCAGAAAACCTACATAGACTTATGGTCATGCTGTTAAGAGGTAACCTTTCATAATATTTTTTTAAGGGATTAGTATTTGTCCTTTTAAATGACATAAGATTTTGTTATTTTAATCAAAATTATTGTTTGATAGTGAGAAAAATAATTACACAATAAAAATTATGGTTCAAGAAAATGAGATATTTTTTTAATTTAAATATTAAATAAAAAACAGTAAAAATAAAATGACTATCCTTTAAAAGGATAAATATTTTTTTCTTTTTTTTAAAATATAAAAATGATAAATAACAAAATTAAGATATATGACTTTAAGATGGACGAATATTTTACAGTAATACAATATTTCAAAACTTTTATAATTTATTTATTATTTATATACTTCTAAAGTCGATTCTGTTACATGAGTCGACATGCGTGCCTACTTTTATTTATTAATATTTTTTTTTTGGACATGACAGGGAATCGAACCGCACACCTAATACACCCTAAACACACCCAACACCACTAGGCTATCCCTAGTGGTGCGCCTACTTTTATTTTATATATACCTGTATTAAATATCCAAATTTACTCATTTATAAATGTTCTACGGACAATAACTTTAAATATAATTTTTTTACTGGTTAATCGATTACTCGACTAATTTGATAGGATCACAAAATTCTCTCTATCAAATTTTAATACAACATTCGAACTCGAAACCACTATTAAATTAAAACAACATCTAATTACCAAAAAAAATTAAAACATCTTACCAATTAACCCACGTACTTGATGATAAAGGTAGATCTCTTTTATATTTCTAATTTTGCCATAGCTTCTCTTGGACGTGAGGTGGTGTATTTTTCTTCTTTTTTTCTTGACTTACGAGGGAGGTACACCTACCCCTCCTTGGGACCAACAACCCATATTCCGGGATGTAACACCAAGACATGTTGAAGCAAGCTATGAAATATCGTGTGTACTTAAGGAAAACAAAGTACAAACTGAATAATGCTGTTAGATGTTGCAGGGATGATTTCCCTTGGTATAATTTTGTTCTTGTGACAAAGACTTGCAATATTTTCATAAAGTGAAGAATATGGTTGATCATGGCACATGCATGCATCAAGATTTAATGGGGTATGGGGTTGTCTTGCTAATCAAAGGCCATATTGATTCTGGCAAATGATAGGGAATATATATATAGGGTATGGGGTTTTCTTTTCTTGAAAAAGGGTATTCTAATATATTATAGAATTGTAAATAATCTGTACAAAGGGTTCTCTATTTATAGAGAATATTTGACCTACTTTTAACCTAATGGGCTTGGCCCAATACAACAAAGGGCTTGGCCCAATACAACAATAAATGACTAAATAAAAACTAAATAATAACTAAATCAATATTATTTACAACACTCCCCCTCAAGCTGAAGAATAGATATTTATCATTCCCAGCTTGCTAGTAAGTTCTTGAAATCTGTCTGAAGGAAGCCCCTTTGTTAATAGATCAGCCAATTGACGCCCAGTGGGAATGTATGGAGTGGTAATCAACCCGCTATCAAGTTTCTCTTTGATGAAATGGCGGTCAACCTCAATATGTTTAGTCCGATCATGTTGAACTGGATTATGAGCTATACAAATAGCGGACTTATTATCACATAGCAGCTTCATAGGTCCCTCACATTTTATTTTGAGATCATCAAGAACAATTTTCAGCCACAGTAACTCACAAATGCCTTGAGCCATAGCTCGAAATTCAGCTTCTGCACTTAATCTGGCAACCACATCTTGTTTCTTACTTCTCCATGTCACCAAGTTACCGCAAAGAAACATGCAATAACCAGCGGTAGAACGACGGTCAGTCACGGATCCAGCATAATCAGCATCTGTTTAGACTTCTAAAGATAGATTGTCATCACGTCGGAATAACAATCTTTTACCAGGAGTACCTTTAAGATACTGAAGAATTCTCTCTACTGCCTACATGTGTTTTTCTTTTGGATCGTGCATAAACTGACTGACAACACTAACAGCATAAGCTAGGTCTGGTCTAGTATGGGCCAGATATATCAATTTCCCAACTAGCCGTTGATATTGTCCTTTATCAACTGGAGGACTCTCTTCTTCATAGCCCATCTTGTGATTCTGCTCAATAGGAGTATTAGAGGGTTTACACCCGAGTTTTCCTGCTTCTTTGAGAAGATCAAGAACATATTTCCTCTGGCTGATAAAAATTCCTTTGCTTGAATGAGCTACTTCTATCCCTAGGAAATATCTCAGTTTCCCAAGGTCTTTGATTTCAAACTCAGAGGCAAGCCGTGTTTGCAGAATCTGTCTCTCCACAAAATCATCACCTGTGATAATAATATCATCAACATATACAAGGAGCACAGTAAGCTTCCCATTTTGGGAGTGCTTGAAGAAAAGAGTGTGATCTCCTTGGCTCTGTCTGTATCCTAAGGTCATCATAACCTTAGTAAATCTTCCAAACCAAGCACGAGGTGACTGCTTCAATCCATACAAGGCCTTTTTTAATCTACAAACTTTATTTTCCCCCTTCACAGAATCAAAACCATGCGGGATTTCCATGTAGACTTCTTCTTCTAACTCACCATTGAGGAAAGCATTTTTCACATCAAATTGATTTATATCCCAATTGTAATGGGCAGCAAGGGATAACAAGATTCTCACTGTATTCATCTTTGCAACTGGAGCAAAGGTTTCTTCATAATCAATGCCATAGGTTTGAGTGTAACCTTTGGCCACTAATCGAGCCTTATATCTCTCAAGAGTGCCATCAGAATTATATTTCAGGGCATAAACCCATCTGCACCCTACTGCTTTCTTTCCGTTGGGTCTGTCAATAACCTCCCATGTTTTATTTTTCTCCAAAGCATTCATCTCCTCTTGCATGTCTTGAGCCCAATTCCTACCTTTCAAGGCTTCATGTACTGATTTTGGGATTGCAATAGAATCTAGTGCTGAAACAAAGCTTTTGTGCTGCACAGAAAGATTAGCAGAGGAAACAAAGTGGGAGATAGGGTATTGAGTACAAGAGGGACAGGAGGAACAAGTTTTCTTGTGACAAGATCTTTTTCCTTTTCTAAGAGCAATAGGTAAGTCATCAGAAGTAGAAGCAATGGGTAAGTCATTAGAGATATCAGAAGAAATAGACAAATCATGAGAGGAAATAATATTAGAATCAGAAACAGGAGATTCAGGAGACTCAGAAGAAATAGGAGATTCAGGACTTACCAGTGGTTCAGACGATTGAGGTTGCTGGTGAGACAGTATGGGTTGTATCTCAGGTGTATTTGAAGGTTTTGACACACCAGGAGCAGACACACTAGGAAGAGAGAAGATTGATCCAGACTCAAAGAAGGAAGGGGACGAGTCTTCTGAAGAACTATTCTCCCCCTGACGATGAGGACCCAGGAAATAAGATTCAGATTCTTGAAAGGTGACATCCATAGAAACAAAAAATTTCTGACTTGGTGGATGATAACACTTGTACCCTTTTTCATAAGGGTTATAACCAAGGAAGACACACTTAAGAGCCCTAGGATCCAACTTACTCCGATGTTGTTTATGAACATGGACAAAGGCAACACATCCAAACACTCTTGGTGGAAGGCTCTACAATATGGGAACAGAAGGAAAGAAGGAAGTCATGGAATGAATAGGACGGATATTGTTAAGGACCCGTGAAGGTAAACGGTTGATCAAAAAAGTTGCAGCTAATACTGCTTCTCCCCAATAAGAACTAGGAACAGATGTCTGAAAAAGTAGTGCTCTAGCAACTTCAAGAAGGTGACGATTTTTCCTTTCAGCAACCCCGTTTTGTTGAGGGGTATCAACACATGTGAGCTCATGAATCATACCTCTGTCTGAAATGAATTGTGACAGGCGTTGATTGACGTACTCAGTACCATTATCAGATCTGAGTCTTTTAATACCCTTACCAAACTGAGTCTCAACCATGTGATGAAACCGAATAAATATCTCTGGTACTTCAGACTTGTCTTTCATCAAGTATATCCATGTTATCCGAGTACAATCGTCAATAAAAGAAACAAACCACCTAGCACCTGAAACACTGTGCACTTTAGAAGGGCCCCAAACATCAGAATGGATAAGAGAAAAAGGTTCCCTGCTTTTAATAGTGCTAGAAGGAAATGACACTCGATGGTGTTTTGCAAATTCACAAATATCACAATGAAATGTCTCAACCGACTTATTGAGAAACAGAGAGGGGAACATAGACTTCAAAAGACTAAATGGTGGATGCCCGAGACGCTTGTGATGGAGCCAAATCATAGACTCTGCGGTAGAAGGATGATGTGTCATTAATAACTGATTTTTGCTAGCATGGTCTGGAAGGAGATGATACAACCCATCCTGTTCATTAGCAACTCCAATTGTCTTCTTCGTGGTAAGATCCTGAATAAGACAATGAGAAGGAAAAAATGTGATAGAACAATT